ATGGTTAACCACCCCCATATTACTTGCTTTTACATTTTGAGTGTCCAGAGAAAACAGACAGAAGGGATGGACTCTGTTATGTTGCTGCTCACCTGCCTCTCTGCTAGCTTCTTTCTGTGTCTATTTTTAATCCTGACAGAACATCACATGAGATTTCTTTAAAATGGATTAAACCATTTCTTTAGCCTGAAAAAAATGTTTTAAAAATATTTCCTTGTATCTTTGTTTGGTTCTATACAACAAATAGGTTGTAATCACCAGAAATTATATTGTGTATTCATTGAATAATTAAATTTTTTTTGAAAGTAAGCTTCTGGCCGGGCGCTGTGGCTCAAGCCTGTAATTTCAAGCACTTTGGGAGGCCGAGGTGGGTGGATCACAAGGTCAAGAGATCGAGACCATCCTGGTCAACACGGTGAAACCCCGTCTCTACTAAAAATACAAAAAAATAGCTGGGCATGGTGGCATGTGCCTATAATCCCAGCTACTCAGGAGGCTGAGGGAGAATTGCCTGAACCCAGGAGGCGGAGGTTTCAGTGAGCCGAGATTGCGCCATTGCACTCCAGCCTGGGTAACAAGAGCGAAACTCCCATCTCAAAAGAAAAAAAAAAAAAAAGAAAGTAAGCTTCTGCTATCAAGCTGTTACACCAGTCTCTTAAGTCCCGTCATTTAAAGTGGTGGTTCAGATTTTTAAAATAAACTTAAGAGATTGGAAGGGATTGACTTGGAAGATCCTGGTTCCAAAAGAACATATAAAGAATTACTTGTAAATTATAACCTCTGCTGTCCTCCCTTACTGGCAGGGTGGGGCATGGAAATTTTGGTTGAGTTTCAGCTTATCTTCTTATAGGGGTGATAGTATATACCTTCACTGAGAGGAAAGAAATTCTCATTCGGCTCTACAACTTTTCGTTCAAGTTAAATTTCGTATCCTAGGGAAGCAATTGTGAGTTTCAAAGCAAACCAAGTTATAAATGTCCCTCCTCTAGGTAATTGGTTCTTTTTTTCTTTTTAATACATGGGGCATTATATGAACTTTAAGTAATCATAAACTGCTTCTCTTTAGAATGTATGTTAATTTTCCAATTTCCTATGAGATTAAGTAATTTTTAATGTTCATCTCTGGTAATATTGTCCTTGTGAAAACAAACTCTTTTTCCCAGTGTATTGATTGGGCTGCTATAATGTGGCCTTTGAGGTTTGTTGTAGTAAAATAAGTGGTTTATCGAAGTACTGAATGACTAAGTAACACACTAGTTTCCATTTTATCTGTTTATCTTGTATTTTAGCATTATCAGAACATTTTGCTCCTAAGTATTCAACCATGCCTGACAGTGGGCACTGTGCAGGGTGAAAGGTAATGCTGTTGGTCTCCCCGGGACATTTTAGCTTTAGGAGATCGGCCTCTTTTTATTTATCTCATTGCCTGTCACATCTTGCTTTGTTGAGTGTTTAAACATTTTATTAATCCTTACTAAAGGCCTCTAGTTTACAACTTTGGCTTTTTATCAAGGAATCCAGAAGCTTGCTTTTGCACAGTTCAGCCAAGTAATTTTAAACCAGAAAACAGTAATTTTTAAAAGTTATGATTTAGATGCCCATTAGATCTACAAAAACTAATTTTAAACTAAAATTATTACTTTTCCATGTCTAGGGGATGGTATGATCAATTAGAAAATGAGGCTATAAGAAAGATAGCTTTGCCCACGCTGGTGTTTCATTTTTGAGACACTGCTCTGCCACCCAGGGTGGAGTGCAGTGGCACCATCATGGCTCTCTGCAGCCTTGACCTCCAGGGCTCAAGAGATCCTCCCACCCCAGCCTCCAAGTAGCTGGGACTGCAGCCACATACCACCATACCCAGCTAATTTTGTTATTTTTTGTAGAGACAAGGGTGCCTTGAGTTGAATCTCCAGAAAGATTTAGAATGGCTGTGTTACCAGAGCTCTCCTAGGTTAGCCTGCAGGACTGCGTCCATGTCCGTGTGACGTTACTGGAATTAACAAACCTAGAGACACTCAGTGCTCCTTCATGTGACCTGCCACTCAGCGCCGCTGTGATTCAGCAGCCAGAGTTTTCAGGAGACCTCCAGCTTGTCCATTGACATTCAGGGTAAGAGGTGAGAAATTTCCTTTTGTTCTGAGTTCACCCCCTACTTTAGGGGAAATCAATAGGAAATTTACTCTGACTTTAATGATCAATAAAGAAATACCCTTGCCTCTCCCTCTTTATATAAAGTAAGAGTCATATGGTTCAAAAATCAAAACAATATAAAAAGGTATTGTAAACCAGAAAAGTGTCTGAGACAAGCTTCACCCATGTAGAGGTGTATTTTGCCAAGGTTGGGGATGTCCCTGAGAAGGAGACACAACCATAGATCTGTGGCCAGCACTTTTTCCAGAGGATTTTAAGCCTTCAGTATTTAAAAGGGAAAGAAGAGGGGGAAGGAAAAATAAAGGAGGGTAGTAGGGAGACAAGTGGTTAGATTCTTGTGAGACTTTGATTAGCGTTTACCAAATCTAAGTGTCATAGTGAAAGGAGGGGGTTGAGGAACAGTCAGTTATCTTCAGCCCAGCAAATCTACATTTAGCACTCACCAAATCTACATGTTACAATGAAAGCAGCGGGTGGAGGAACAGTCAGTTATGCATTCAGCTCAGTAAATCTACATATAGCGCCCACCAAATCTACATGTTACAGTGCAAGGAGCAGGCAGAGGAAGAGTTATGCAGTCAGCTCAGTACATCTACATTTAGCACTCACCAAATCTACATGTTACATTGAAAGGAGTTATGCATTCAGCTCAGTACATCTACATTTGTCTCAGGGCTGGTGAGGGATGGTTTCTGGTATTGTCTTTGTCCCTCACCTATGAAGATAAGCTGTTAATTTACATTGTCAGGTGAGGGAGACCACCTGGGGAGATATGTGGCCTTCTATCTGTTTAGGAACTAAAGAAAAAGTTATTTGCAGGTTCCATGACTCAGGTTCCAAGCTTAACTTTTCCCTTTGGCTTAGTGAATTTCATGCTGAGATAGATTTTCCTTTCACAGTATACCCCATCCCCATCAATCCTGTTCCCCCTGCGTCCTATGGGGAACCCCTCCTTAAGCAAATACAAATAGATAATCTTTATTTTCTCTCTTTCTTCTAAAACTTTATCTTACTGTTACCTTCTGCTGTCCTAATTGTGGCACATATTTAACTTTGTAGGTTCAGTGATTTACAGAGTGGTCTCGCTATAGAGACAGCTGCTTGTCACCATAGTTTGGAGCAAGATGTATTATCATTATTATTTTGAGACAGAGTTTTACTCTTCTTGCCCAGGCTGGCCAATCCTGGCTCCTTGCAACCTCTGCCTTCTGGTTCAAGAGATTCTCCTGCCTCAGCCTCCTGAGGAGCTGGGATTATAAGCATGCACCACCATGTCTGGCTAATTTTGTATTTTTAGTAGAAATGGGGTTTCTTCATGTTGGTCAGCCTGGTCTGGAACTCCCAACTTCAGGTGATCCACCCGCCTCAGCCTCCCAAAGTGCTGGGATTACAGGCATAAGCCACTGCACCCAGCCAAGATGTATTATTTTTACTATTAATTTACGTTTAATGTGAATCATGATCCTAAGTGTATCAGAATTTCTTGATAATATTCACCAAAGAAGAGAGAGCAGCACTGCTTTCTACAGTGTGGGTCTCGCCCTGTCCACAGTTACTGGAAATAGTTCTTTAGTTGCTGTGACGTCCTGGGTGGGCTTCATTCCTAAGTAATGTACTTTGTCTACAGCAACTTCTTGCAACGTTGTGAACAGATCTTGAAGATGCACAGTGAGGTTTGGTTTCCTTTGTCCTCTGAAGTCTTGGTGGTTGTTGCTTCTCTTGTTTATTGGTTCCAGCAAAAACTGGAGCTGATCTGATGTCGTGACCTATGAAAACAGCTTTTATGAAGGAAGAAGTACCAGGAAATCCCCTGCCACTGTAGATCTGCTTCTCTGGGTACCATTTAGTACTCCATACTCCAGCCACTAGGCGTGGTGGCTGTGATTGGGTCCTCTGTGATCATGAACAGGAGTGGGCCCAGATACTGGCATGGGGTGTGTTGTGCTCTTGCAGGAAATCCCACAGACATCCCCTAAGCAGAAACCAGGGTGAAGTACAGAGTAGTCCTGCAACACTTCGGTTGCAAGGCCTTCGGTGACCCTTTCTGGGCCTGGGATTTTGACACCATCGGCTCTGTTGTTTCTCAGCTGCTGTTTTCTGAAGTCTCAGTTGCCTCACCACATTATCATCGGGGAAAGCGTGGTCTACCTAGAACATAAACTTCCTAGGCCCTGTGTTCCAGTGGGGGTTTCGGTGTTTAGGACAGAGTCCCTTTCCCCTCTGTAGTGTTGGGTGTTCATTAATCACTCTTGAAGAGGTAAGGGGCTGGGCCTCAGCCTCCCCAGAGGCCATCAGTGGAGAAGGGTCTCGCTGACCTCAGATCGTGGGCATTTCCACGGCACACCATCCCTCCCAGTACGCTCTAGCAATAGGAAGGCTGGGAACGCCACCCAAAGCCACACCGTTTTTGCGGTCTGTGTATTTGGACGCCTCCCCAGCACCCAGTCAACGAGTTTCTTTTTCCACAGCAGTCAGTCACTCTCGTGCAGTGTCAGTGATTTATTGGTGTTTCAGCTAACCCGGCTACTCTCCATTTCAGCCATCAAGGTCTAGGGAGCCACTCCATTCCGAGGAGCCCTCAGCCAGCCTCCTTCCTGGTCAGCTCCTCCACTTTGGCCACGTAGGCCCTCATGGCGTCCATCCTGGACAGCCCTTGGTTCGCAGTCCACGCCTCCCACTTGGCCTTGGCTTTCAGGTCAGAGGCGGGAGGCGCGGGGAGGTGGCAGTCGCCCCGGGTGGCCTGCTTGTACCAGCCGTAGAGCAGCAGCTTGTCCTGGTCGCTCAGGGGGCCCTTCAGCTGCTTGAGGGCGGTGCGCGCCAGCTCGAACTCCACTTGGCACATGGGGCGGGAGGCGGCCGGGCCTTTCCGGGCGATCCGGGTGCTGGAGGCCGGAGGTGGGGAGGTAAAAAGGCCGGCGTCAGACCTCCAACTCGGGGGCAGGGGACGGGCGGCGCGTGGAAGAACACGCAGAGTCTGTATTTTCTTCTCCGCGACTGCAGGCCCGGGAGCCAGTGTCTGGGTCTGTCCACGATGTTTCTGTGGAGGAGCAGACGTGAGAAGCGCCTCCGGTCCCAAACGCGGCCGTCCCAAGGGGGCGGCGCGGCAGCGGCGCGCACAGAGTGCGAGCGTAGGACGAGCTGGGCGGGAGGAAGCCGCGCGTGGGGAGGCCGCGCTGGGTGGGGGCGGACAGTGTGCGGGACGCGCCCGGGGTCACCGGATGAGGGTGAATGCGGAGCCGGGGCTCAAGCCGGACGCACTGGGACCCGGAGGCAGGCCCGGGAGCAACGCCCGATACCTGACGGACGGGAGGCCTCTGCGAGGAGGCGGTGCTGTGGCTCTGCGCGCTCCTCCGTGAGGACTGCGCTTGCGCGGGGGGCTATGGGCGGGGACTGAGCACGGCCGCCGTGGCGCCTGCGCCGCCCATTGTGCCGTGCGTTCGTCGCCGCGCCCGCGTTCTCTGAGAGGGAGAGCCAACCCCGCGCAACCGCCCGCGTCGCTACCATGGACCTAGGTGGGTGCCGCGCTCCCTGCCCGGGCTGCGTCCCTCCACGCGTCAGCAGGGCGGTGCTCCCTGGCGCGTCTCCTCCCGCTGCGCGCACTGATGGGCCCAGGCGGAACGTCCTCCGCGTCGGGGCGGGTCTGGGGTTCCGGGTGGCTTTGGCTGGGGACCCGGGCCCGGCCTCGGGAGTCGCGCCGCGGAGTGAGGGTGGAACCCTCTGGGCCGGCGCACGTGCTATGGAAGCGCGGCTCCTTCAGCGCCCGGACTGCCGCGCTCCTGAAAGGCGCGTGTCTCCTGTCGTCCGGCTTCGTCTCGGCGGAGCGGGAGGGGGACGGTGCGTCTGCCCCCGAGGGCTGCGCGACTCTCCACGGAGGCCGCGGGCGTCCAGGTCCCGCGCAGAGTTGCCGGGGCGGCTGCGCGCCTCGGAACCGGAGTGGTCGGGGCCAGGCCCGGAACACGGAGCAGGTGGGCGGGCGTCCGGAGAGCTGGGGCCGCGGCGCTTCGGCACCAGCTCTCGGGAGCGGAATGGCGTCCGGGCACCCTGAGAAAAGCGTTTCTGCAGCTTCGTGTTCGGGCCTTGAGCGGGAACGGCGTTGTCAAGGTGGTCGTGATGCGTGAGGTCTCGCATGTGACCCGGCGCGGGGCTGGCGCGGTGAGCGCGGAACCACCCGGTAGCCCTAGCTCTTGGCTCTGGCGCGCGCTGGGCGCCGTTCCTGACCGAGCGCCGGCGGGTTTTCCAGCCGTCACTGCCCTGGCGCTACTGCTGCAAATGCGGCGGACTGCCTGCGTTTGGAAGGCGCGCGTGGATGGCCAGACATTGGCCCAAAGAAGCTGATAACGCAGTAAAATTAAATTTGCAGCGCCAGGGGGGGCCGCATTTTGGGGTTTGGGCGAGCCTCCTGACGGTAACCCTAGCGAGATCCCTCTGCAGCCTCGGCCTCAGCCACTGTGAGCTGAGGTGGATTTTCTCCGCAAATGGGTTACATGGGAGTGCTGAGCGCTGGGCCTGTGGCTGCTCCCACACATGGTGGCAAGGGCAAGACAGTCCTTAGTCTCCTGGAATCCGTGTTATCTCTGCTGATGTCTGGCCTGTAAAATGGAGACTGAGCTCTCAGGGGCATGAGAGACTGAGGAAGAAGCATCTCTTGGTCCTAGAAAAGGGAGAGGACTCAGGAGTGGGGAATAGTGAGCAGTGTCTATCCTGGGAAAGGGAGAAGACTAGGGAGTGAGGAATGGTGAGCATTGTCCCGATCCTGGGAAAAGGAGAGGACTCAGAAGTGAGGAAAAGTGAGCAATGCTTGTACCCTCGTTTTACTTCCTGGGCCAAAGGAAACATACCTGATAAAAACCTATGTCCTTTGATGTTTCTGAGCTGGGGCAGGCAAAGAACAGTGACAGGGTTTTGATCCTGCCAATGATGAGAAGGTTTGGGGAAACCAACATTGACTGAGCCCTGATCAGGCTCTGTAACCTGATTCTTAGTGTAGCTGTATCACATTTATCCATCACAGCGTCTCCAGGAGATGGGGTCAGGAGATAGCAGTACTAACCCACTACCAGGGGCTTGACTGGTATGCATCATATAATCCTCAGAGTCGTAACAAGAAGTCTGTATTATCCCCAAAGCTGCAGAAGGAAGGCTTGGAGAAGCAATCTGACCATGATCACATCCCTTACCCACCCCCCTTTTTTTAGGGGTCTGGGGGGGGTCTCACTATGTTACCTTAGCTAGTTTTGAACTCCTGACCTCAGGGATCCACCTGCCTCAGCCCCCCAAGTAGCTGGGATTAGAAGTGCTAGCCACTGCACCCCTGGCCAGAATCACATTACTTTTAAATGGCTGATCTAGGAATCAAACCTATGTTTGATTAAACATCCCAAGATGTAAGTCTGTCAGTTATTCCTTCTCTGCAGGAAGGACTTAATTTAATGAAGTATTTTCTGTATCTACTCCCTGGTTTCTCCCACAGAGCCTGGGCCATGAGTAGCTTGTCTTTGGAAGGAGCTGTGGGGTGGACTGTTTCCCTGAAAGGTAGAACAATGTTTGAAGCCTGCTCCCAAGGCAAGGTTATGAAGGGCGAAGGCAGGGCTTGTCTGATTGCTTCTGTGCCCATTACCTGTGGCCATGTGATTGCTTCAGTGCTCATTACGCTATGGCTGTGTGATGGCTGCTGTGCCGTTACCCTGTGTCTGTGTGATGGCTGCTATGCCCATTACCCTGTGGCTGTCCTCATTACCCTGTGGCTGTGATTGCTGTTGTGCCGTCACTCTGTGGCTGTGCCCATTACCCTGTGAATGTGTGATTGCAGCTGTGCCCATTACCCTGTGGCTGTGTGATTGCTGCTGTGCTGTTACTCTGTGGCTGCATGATTGTGGCTGTCCTCATTACCCTGTGGCTGTGTGATTATCACTCTTCCCCCTTCATCTGTCATGAGAAACTCAGCTGTCATGTCCTGTGGTACAAGCTCAATAGCTCTGTCGTTTGTACTGTCCTCGTGCTATTTCTGAACCTCTCTCCCCACATCCTCCTCTGGCCCATCCTTTGCTGAAGGGTTTGCCCTCAGCAGCCCAGCTTGTTCTTTTTACTTTTCCTGAGGGATCTCATTCTCTCTTGGTTCCGGTGATCCCCTTCTGGGCACATGCCTCTCAGAGTCACATTTCCCAGCTGACTTACCCCCTGAACTTCCACCTGGCATTGCAACTGCTGAAGGACATCTCCTCGATAGCCAAAATCCAGAATCACATTTCCCAGCTGGCTTTTCTCTTCAACTTGCATGGGGCATTTCCACTGCTGGAGAACATCTGTGCCTTGATAGCCAAAATCAAGCTTGTCTCTTCTCAAACCTGTTCCGATTCTCCTCCTTCCCTGTATGTGACGCCACCCGGGGTCCTCCCAGTTCCCACTCTAGAGAGCTTGGAAGTCATTCTGGATTCCTCAGCTCAGTCCTGCCTCCAGCCCTGCAGTGGCTCTGGTGGCCATCCCTTCTTCTCCCCTTCGTGGATGTCTAAAACCCTCATCATCTCTAACCCTGACAGCCTCCTAACTGCAGTGACTGTCTTGAGACGTTCGCATTATACTGTCTTACTTGGCTTCTCTGTGCAGGACCCTTGAACATCTGTGAGGAAATGACTATTCTGCACGGAGGCTTCCTGTTGGCTGAGCAGCTGTTCCACCCCAGAGCTCTGACAGAACTGACCAAGTCTGACTGGGAGCACGTTGGGCGGCCCATTGTGGAGGCCTTGCAGGAGATCTCCTCCGCAGCAGCGCATTCCCAGCCCTTTGCCTGGAAGAAGAAAGCTCTGATCATCATCTGGGCCAAGGTTCTGCAGCCTCAGCCTGTGACCTCTTCTGACACGGACACTCGGTGGCAGGAAGATGTGTTCTTCTCAGTGGGCAATATGATCCCCACCCTCAATCACACCGTCCTGTTTGAGCTGCTCAAGTCCCTAGAAGCTTCTGGACTCTTTATCGAGCTCCTGATGGCCCTGCCTGCCATTGTCTGCTGTGCAGAACTCGAGCGCTTTTTGGAGCACGTGAGCATTGACACGTCCTCTGAGGACGTGGCCTTCTTCCTGGATGTCTGGTGGGAAATGATGAAGCACCGGGGTAATCCACAGGATCCCCTGCTCTCCCAGTTCAGCGCAATGGTCCATAAGTACTTGCCTGTCTTAGAAGAGTTCCCCCATCCTCCCAAGAGGCTGAGGTCAGAGCCAGACGTGTGCCCCACCATGCTTCTGTTGGCCATGCTGCTTCGTGGGCTGATGCAGATCCAGGGTCGGATCCTGGGCCCAGGGAGAAAGTGCTGTGCACTGGCCAACCTGGCCGACATGCTGAGCGTGTTTGCACTGACCGAGGACGACCCCCAGGAGGTGTCTGCAACTGTGTATCTGGACAAACTGGCCACAGTGATCTCTGTGTGGAACTCAGACACCCAGAACCTGTACCACCACCAGGCACTGGCAGAGAAGGTCAAGGAGGCAGAACGGGATGTCAGCCTGACCTCACTGGCCAAACTCCCCAGTGAGACGATTTTTGCCGGCTTGGAATTGATGCACGCCCTGCTGGGGGAGTGGGGGGAGGAGCTGCAAGCCATGCTCTGCAGCAGCCAGGGCACAAGCTATGACAGCTACCGGCTGTGCGACAGTCTGACTTCCTTCAGCCAGAACCTGGCGCTCTACTTGAACCGCGCCAGCCTGCCCGAGGAGGAGAGGCAGGTGGCCTCTGAGCTGGCAGTGTGTGTCAGGGACTTCCTGAGGAAAACCAGCAGGGTGCTGAAGAACAGGGGCTCCCAGGACATCACGGCTTCCATTGCCATGGCCATCATCCAGCAGAAGATGAACCGTCACATGGAAATGTGCTACATTTTTGCTTCTGAGAAGAAGTGGGCTTTCTCAGACGAGTGGGTAGCCTGCCTGGTGAGTAACAGGGCTCTCTTCAGGGAGCCAGATTTGGTGTTGAGGCTGCTGGAAACAGTGCTAGGTGCCAGCACCACTGACAGAGCAGTCCCCGAGCCTCAGATCCAGCAAGTGCTCCACTTGGTCCTGGAATGTTACACAGACCTCTCCCTGCCAGACAAAAACAAAGTCCTTGCAGGCATCCTGCATTCCTGGGGGAAAAGGGGCCTATCTGAAACGTTGCTGACCTATGTGGAGAGTTTTCCGGAAGACCTCAATACAACCTTAAACAAGCTCGCTCAGAGTGCCTCCGAGCAGGGCTTGGCAAAAGCTGTGGCCTCCGTGGCCCGCCTGATGATAGTGCACCCGGAAGCCACAGTGAAGAAAATCTGCAGCCTGGCTGTGGTCAATCTTGGCACCCACAAGTTCCTGGCCCAGATTCTCACAGCCTTCCCCGCTCTTCGGTTCATAGAAGAGCAGGGTCCAAATTCATCTACCACTTTCATGGTGTCGTGCCTCAGAGAAACTGTCTGGGCAAAGTTCTCTACACCCAAGGAGGAAAAGCAATTTTTGGAGCTCCTGAACTGCCTGATGAATCCTGTGAAGCCCCAGGGGATTCCAGTGGCTGCTCTGCTTGAGCCAGATGAGGTGCTGAAGGAATTTGTCCTGTCATTCTTGATGTTAGATATTGAAGAGGTGGACCTCAGTCTGAAGATCTTCCTCCAGACTCTAGAAGCAAATGCATGCCTGGAGGAATACTGGCTCCAGGCCTGCTCCCCATTCCCACTCCTCTTCAGCTTGTGCCAGCTCCTGGACAGCTTCAGCAAGTACTGGCAGCTCCCTAAGGAGAAGCGGCGTTTGTCTTTGGAGAGGAAGGATCTGGCGGCCCATATCCTGGAGCTCCTGTGTGAGATTTTATTAGCCAATGCCGAGACCTTCTCCCCAGACGCCTGGATCAAGTCCGTGTCCTGGCTCCACCGCAAGTCAGAAGAGCTTGACTGGACTGTGGGCCTCAGACTGAAGACCTTTTTTGAAGGACACTTCAAGTGTGAGGTGCCAGCCACACTTTTTGAGATCTGTAAGCTTTCTGAGGATGAGTGGACCTCCCAGGCCCACCAAGGGTATGGGCCAGGCACAGGGCTCCTGGCCTGGATGGAGTGCTCCTGCATCTCCAGCACCCTCTCAGAGAGGATGCTGTCTCTGTTGGTGGTCAACGTGGGTAGTCCTGAGGAGGTCAGGTTGTTCAGCAAAGGATTTCTGGTGGCCCTGGTGCAAGTCATGCCTTGGTGCAGCCCTCAGGAGTGGCAACACCTTCAGCAGTTGACCAGGAGGCTGCTGGAGAAACAGCTGCTCCATGTCCCATATAGCCTGGAGTATATTCAGTTTGTTCCTCTGCTCAACCTGAAGCCCTTCGCCCAGGAGCTCCAGCTCTCTGTACTCTTCCTGAGGGCTTTCCAGTTTCTCTGTAGCCAGAGTTGTCAAAATTGGCTTCCTCTGGAAGGCTGGAACCATGTGGTCAGACTCCTGTGTGGCAGTCTGACCAGCCTCCTGGACTCAGTCAGGTTGATACAGTCAGTTGGCCCTTGGGCGCAGGGACAAGAGCAGGACCTGACCCAGGAAGCTCTGTTTGTCTACACCCAGGTGTTCTGTCATGCTCTGCACATCATGGCCATGCTCCGCCAGGAGGTCTGTGAGCCACTGTATATTTTAGCCTTGGAAACTCTCACTTGCTATGAGACTCTGAGCAAGGCCAACCCTTCTGTCAGCTCCTTGCTCCAGAAGGTGAACGAGCAGCACTTCCTGAAGTCCATTGCTGAGAACATCAGCCCCGAAGGGCGGCGTCAGACCCTGCTGCAAAAGATCAGCAGCTTCTGACGTTGGCCCATAGCAGAAAAGCTGGGTCTAAATATGGCAGATCCATAGGGGTCAGACCTGCACAGCATGGACTTTACAGCTGCGTTAAACTGTCCACAGGAAATCATGGCAATAATGGTATAAAGAAAATAATTTCTTAGGTACATTTATAATGTACAAACTATAATAAACATTCTCTTTTGCATCTCTCTTTGTCTAAGTCTGCTGCAGCAATAGCCCAGGATTGATTATGTATGCTCTGAAATTGAATTTAGTGTCTTCGAGATTCAATTCAGCCCAGAGGAACATGTTCATAACTGGACTTTTCCTTTTTTCTTTCTTTTTTTTTGAGACGGAGTCATGCTCTGTTGCCAGGTGCCAAGCTGGAGTGCAGTGGCGCAATCTTGGCTCACTGCAACCTCCGCCTCCTGGGTTCAAGCAATTCTCCTGCCTCAGCCTCCTGAGTAGTTGGGATTATAGGCGCGCACCACCACGACCAGCTAATTTTTGTATTTTTAGTAGAGATGGGGTTTCACCATGTTGGCCAGGATGGTCTCGATCTCTTGATCTTGTGATCCACCCATCTCGGCCTCCCAAAGTGCTCGGATTACACGGTCTTGATCTCTTAACCCCGTGATCCACCCGCCTTGGCCTCCCAAAGTGCTGGGATTACAGGCATGAGCCACCGCACCTGGCCATAACTTGACTTTTCCATCCTTGATTTTGGCAAATAAGCTGAAAGTTAAAACTATCGGAGTTGAAAAAGAATGACAGGGTCTGTGCAACCCCCTTTAAGAGCTATTTTGTATTTTACTGTTTTTTTCATGAGGTCTCTTGGAAAGGACAGCAGCTTGGAAAAGAATCTACTCCAGCCCTGGTTCTGCCTCTGGCCATGAGACTGCTGTGCCCGAGAGGCCTGCACAATTCTAAAATGAGAGGATTGGAGGACCAAGATAACTGAGTAGCAAGGGGCTAGGTTAATGACCTCAGGGAAATAGATCCCCTCTGAATTGAGGACTGCTTAGTCTTTGTTGCCCAGGCTGGCCTTGAACCCGTGGACTCAAGTGATCCTCCTACCTCAGCCTCCTGAGTAGCTGGGACAATGAGAGGCAGGAGGATCACTTGAGACCAGCCTGGACAACATATGGAGGCCCTATCTCTACAAAAAAAAGTAAACAGCTGGGTGTGGTGACACACACATGTAGTCCCAGCTATTCAGGAGGCTAAGGCAGCAGGATCACTTGATCCTGGGAGGTCGAGGCTGCAGTGAACTAAGATCACACCACTGCACTCCAGCCTGGGTGACAGAGTGAGACCGCATCTCAAAAAAAAAAAAAAAAATTTATACATATATATATAGAGAGAGAGAGAGCGCGAGCGAGACACAGTGGTGGCTCACACCTGTAATAATCCCAGTGTTTCTGGCGGCTGAGGCAGGAGGATTAGTTGAGGCCAGGAGTTTGAGACCAGCCTGGGCAACAGAGATGCCTGTCCCTACATAAAGAAAAAATGAGTTTAAGGTGTCTCAGGTATTAGGAAACTTATTTTGAGATGAAGAGGGGAAGGATTATGTTCCATCACTAATTCCATCCACACAACTTCCTTCAAAATGGGGCATTACTCAGGTTCTCTCCCCCAACTAAAGTAGGCTTGGCTCCTTGACCAGTAACCAGGCTTTGACTATCCCAGTTCCTAACAGGATTCACTTAGGAACAGAAGAAAGGGCCTCCAGGTACATGTGACCACTACACTTGAACTCTGGGAACCATAGCGATAGGTTTGAGTGACGTGTGAGCTGGACCTCTCTGGAGGCCGAAAGCATTCATATGCCCGAAATCCCTCTGCTAGTTACATGGACATCAACATGGAAGGATAGCACACAGCAGCCAGTCGGTGGCAGGTGCCGGGGGGGGGGGGGGGTCACAGGATGATTCTTAAAGGAAACTGGTACTGATGTACTTCACAAATGAGAGTAAGTTGGGAATGTTAGTGCAATTTAATCACCAGGAGGGTGACTTTCAAAGATACACTGATAGTTAAAAAAAAGACAGTTAAAATTAATAGCACTGTTTTTTAAATGGCATCCATTAAAGATTAAACAGTCAAAATGAGACAGATCATTCAGTCCTTTACAATTTCACAGACAATGAATTAAAGGGCACTTTAAAAATCCACGTTTTAAACTACACTTGAGCACAGTCTCAAACTCATCCTAGTCGATAGGGAATGATTAGTGTTGGCACCAGAAAATCCTGTTTGCAGAAGGAGGTGCAGGTGTCAGTCCACAGGACAGCCTCTGGCCAAGCTAGCTGCCCCCTTGCTCTGCAGCCTTCTGTGGCTAAATGGCAGGACACTCACACAGGAACGGGCTCTGCACCCCAAGCTCATCAGGAGGCTAAGTACTTTGCAGTCTAGAGGAGACGTTTGCTGGTTTGGAGTACAGAAATTGGTTTCCACATCACATGAAAAGGACAGTATCATGGAGTAGGGTTACCCAGTAAATGGCTACCAAAGCCATCATTTCACATTGCCCCTGTAGTTTTTACGAGCACGTCCTCTGCGTGTGGATATGGGGGAAGCTGGGAACGAAGGGATGTGTTAAAAAGAATGGTGTTTGTGACTGACTGCAGTAAGCTCACAAGGTTGACACTGGTCTTACCAAGTCAGCCTGCAAAGGTTGTACTGACTCGGCCACACTGCCTACTCAGGTTTCCATCCCTGCCTCTGGCCTGCCCAACCTCAGCCCCAGCAGTGAGACTTCTGATTGGAAGTCAGTAGATGTGAGAATTCAACGGTGACCCATGGATGAGAGGATGAGGCAGAGAACCAATGGGTTATCTAGTAAACAAAAACTACCTACCCACAATTATTTTCCCAGGCCAGTGTCACAAGAAGTCACCACTTGCTTCTGCTGGCCCAGAACCATGGGTACTGCCCTGAGTGGTTGGAAAGGTGGGTAGCCGCCGATATAGGGACAGGCCCATGCCCAGACACTTATCACCCTGGTCCACCGAGCAAACCCCATGCTTCTAGAGATAAGACCCAAAGAAGGATCCCTGGGCTTCCATGAAAGCCACCTTGCTGCCCATGGAAGGCTGGCAGGACCCAGTAGGTGTTACTACAAAAGTGCTTTTGCAAATAGGACAGGTTAGAAGAAGGAGGTAATATGAATATTCTTTAGCAAAACTCAAATCCATCTGTTTATCAATACCCAAAAGTCCGAGACCATCCAGGGCACAGTTTGGTCCATGGAATACTGAGCGGAGGAGGCAGCTGGTGTGAGCCTGCACCCTTACTGCCCAACTCCCGGGAGCGCTTAACCATCCTTTTTGGCTTGGGGAGTGTCAAAGAGCCGGAGTGCCTTCCTGCACAGCAGAGAGAACCAGTAGATCTGAGGGGCGATGAGAAAGGCATTCGCCACGTTGCAGAAGAAGGGAATGTGGAAGGGCACTTGCAGTAGGCTTAGTCCCTGCTGGTGGCCGTAGGACCAGTACATGAAGGGGAAGAGAAGGATCCGGCAGCAAAGGAAGGTAGCCAGTGTGAGGACTCCGTTCACCTTGTACAGAAGGGTGTGCTGCTGCTTGAGCTACAGAAGAAGAAGGACAAAGGGAAGGTTCCCAAGAGGCTGGGCGTCAGTCCCACAGCAGAAAAGCTGCACAGGTTTAGCTGCTCACCCAGACTGGGGCTGCCAGACTCCCTGACACGTGTCTAGTTTTCTGACATTTGTCGAAGACATTATTGAACACTATCATATTAATACAGGCATATAATCTCATTTTTCCCTGTAGTGATGTTGAATTTCACCTAGGCCACCCAGCTGACGGAAACAGTGGATTAGAGGAAAGTCTGTGACCAGGGAAAAAGTAGAATGAACTGTATCAAACTCAGATCAAACCTACAATTTCATCCCACTGGCTCAGAGGACCAGCTGACCTTGAAGTCTGTGGAAGGATTTCCTAACCAACTCTTCTAGCAGCAGGGATTTCTCCACACCCCACCATCTCCCAAGGAAAAGTGGGATCCAATCCCTCCCTCCTGCGTGTGCGGTTCCTGCCACTGCGTTCATACATGCCTGAATCAGAACTCTGCCCAGCGACACAAATGGCGTGCTCAGTTCTGCCGTGAAGATGCAGCCCACAAAGAAATCCCCAAGGTCCCCCCGCAGCCTCTGCAGATGAAACAACGAGAAGGGGAATAAGTGGAGGTTAAGAAACCAGAAGGAGGGCCGGGCGCGGTGGCTCATGCCTGTAATCCCAGCACTTTGGGAGGCCGAGGCGGGTGGATCACGAGGTCAAAGAGATCGAGACCATCCTGGTCAACGTGGTGAAACCCCATCTCTACTAAAAATACAAAAAATTAGCTGGGCATGGTGACACATGCCTGTAATCCCAGCTACTCAGGAGGCTGAGGGAGAATTGCCTGAACCCAGGAGGCGGAGGTTGCGGTGAGCTGAGATCGGACCATTGCACTCCAGCCTGGGTAACGAGAGCGAAATTCCGTCTCAAAAAAAACCAGAAGGAAGGTTCCCACTGGGGTGATTGAAAAGGGTACCATGAAGGGAAACGCTCATAGGCAAGCGTAGACCCCGTTACTGTCCGCTGCTTCCACGGCAATTGCACTTTGATGGCCCAAGCTGGAGAATCCAGAGGCAAATTCAGGTGGGCTGACTGCACCTATGGCAAGCTCTGAATCTTGGTGACAGCTGGAAGGAACTCTGCAGCCTATTTCTGTGGATCTAACTTAGTCAGTCATGCCAAGGCACTCAACCTGTTCGGTTCAACAGAATTATGTGCTGGGCCCTGTGTTAGATGTTAAGGTCTCAAAACACCCTGGATGTTCTGGTTCCTAGGTGGTAGGTCCCAGACGCTTCTGAAAGAATGGAATGCTTGCTACCCTCTTTTTCTTTTTTTGAGACAGAGTCTTGCTCTTGTTGCCCAGGCTGGAGTGCAAAGGCACGATCTCAGCTCACTGCTACCTCCACCTCCTGGGTACAAACTATTCTCCAGCCTCAGCCTCCCAAGTAGCTGGGACTACAGTTGTGTACCACCACGCCTGGCTAATTTTTCTATTTTTAGTAGAGACAGGGTTTCACCATGTTGGCCAGGCTGGTCTTGAACTTCTGACTGGGATAAGAGGCATGAGCCACCTTGCCTGGCCTCCTTTTTCAAGAAAGCAGTAAGTATAGTAAAATACCAGCTCTGCCACTTAGTACCACTCAGTGAGACAGTAAGAAAACTCTTAGAGCCCCAGTTTCTTCACCTACAGTATCAAGCTAATAGTTTCTAATATATAGCAAGCTATGAACTTTTAAATCATATGCCTGGCTGGGTGCGGTGGCTCACGCCTATAATCCCAGCACTCTGGGAGACTGAGGTGGGTGGATCACCTGAGGTTAGGAGTTCAAAACCAGCCTAACCAATATGGTGGAACCCCATCTCTACTAAAAATCTAAAATTAGCCAGGCATGGTGGTGTGTGGTGTGTGCCTGTAGTCCCAGCTACTAGGGAGGCTAAGGTAGGAGAATCACTTGAACCCTGAAGGCGGAGGTTGCAGTGAGCTGAGATCACCACATTGCACTCCAGCCTGGGCAGCAGAGCAAGACTTCCAAACAAACAAACAGAATGAATGAATGAATGACACCCAGACATGCAGCTCAACAGGAGAAAAGGCGTGACAGGCTGCGGGTCTGCTGTCCCAGAGGCCATACCTGTGCGACTGGTACAAGGACAAAGAGGATGACTGCGTGATGTGTGATCATGAGGCGGTTTCGACTGAGGAAGCTTCGAAGCGTGAGGGAGTGTGCATGGTCCTGGTCTCTGGCTCGGTACCAGTCAGAGAGGTACATGGCGTAGGAGTCATAGATCATGTATGGAATGAGAAACCACACATATTCCCAGGCAAGCCAGTGCCTGAAAGAAAGCATACCCGTGGCCTGTGAGATGACTGGATATCCATCGTGAAGGCTCAGAGCCAAACTGGGTGCTTGATCAGCTGTTCTTACTCCACATACTTCACAATAAATATGTCGAAAGTGATAAATGCAGGAGTAGACAACTTTCTCTAAGTTCCAGGGCCAGTGCATGAGTGTCAAAGGAGAAAGCAGGCATCACTCAGCTCTGCCTGTTTTAAGCAGCTTGCTGCCACTATTTGCCTGACTTAGCTACTAATTTATAATACATGTTCTGGCACTCTGTGATACATACTGACTTTGATTAGATATATATGCAAATGATTCAACAGCCCCACCAAGAAACTGATTTGGAAACTGTCCCAAATTGTAAATCTAGTATTTCCAGTTTAACTCCTCAGTTGCTCAACAGAAGTTTACTAACTTAAATCCTGAACCTGTGAGTCTTCTCTTGCATCTGCTTGCAACCCCACTCTAGGTAGTTTCTGGGAGGGAAACCTGGCCATTTTCTTTACAATTTTAGAGCTGGCCGGGCGCAGTGGCTCACACCTGTAATCCCAGCAATTTGGGAAGCCAAGGAGGGTGGATCACCTGAGGTCAGGAGTTCAAGACCAGCCTGGCAACATGGTGAAACCCTGGCTCTACTAAAAATATAAAAATCAGCCAGGTGTGGTGACACATGCCTGTAATCCCAGCTACTCATAGGCTGATGCAGAATTGTTTGAATCTGGGAGGTGGAGGTTGCAGTGAGCCAAGATTGCAACAGTGCACTACAGCCTGAGTGACAGAGCAAGACTCCATCTCGATTAAAAAATAATAAGGGTGGGAGAATGTCCTTTTAAATGTAAAAAGTACTATACAGGTTCAGCGTGGGGCTCAAACCTATGATCCCTGCACTTTGAGAGGCCAAGTTGGGAGAACAGATTGAGCCCTGGACTTCCAGACCAGCCTGGGTAACAGCAAGACCCTGTCTAAAAACCACAAAGTACTATCTGAATTAAGTACTTAAACTAAGAAAACTGCCTGGATCTGTGATTTGGTCATTTTAGGGGTCTGAACCGCCTTAAGAATCTGACTAAATCATTGGCCCATACCAGAGTCTACCTATAATTTGGGGGGATTTATAGATAACTCCTCCTTTGTCACCACACACTATATGAAGGCATAAAACGAAAAGGCATATAATAGAAAAATACTTAGTGTATAGTATATGAACCCTGAAAGGCCTTTTTCGGCCAGGCGCAGGGACTCACACCTATAATTCCAACACTTTGGGAGCTGAAGGCAGGAGGATCATTGGAGGCCAGGAGTTCAAGACCAGCCTGGGCAACATAGGGAGACCCCTGTATCTACCAAAACAAAGTTAGCCAGTTGCGGTGGTGTGTGCCTGTAGTCCAACCTGTTTGGGAGCTGAGGAAGAAGGATGGCTTGAACCCAGGAGTTTAAGACTACAGTAAGCTATGATCACACCACTGTGCCCCAGTCTGGGCGACAGAATGAGACCCTATCTCTACAGGGAAAAAAATAATTAAACGTGCTGGGTGTGGTGGCTCATGCCTGTAATCCCAGCACTTTGAGAGGATGAGGCAGAAAATGACTTGAGCCCAGGAGTTCAAAACCAGCCTGGGCAACATAGTGAGACCCTGTCTTAAAAAAAAAAACAACAGAAATATTGAACCCAGCTAAGCAAATATTAGCCTTTGGTGTATACAAATCAAGGTCACTTGGTCTATCTTCTCTTAGCATCTATCATTCATTACCAATAGCCAGTTTTGTTTTTAAAAAGAAGAAAAGCACAAAAATCATGACAGCAGGATCAATCCCAAGTGAGACTGCAGGCTAGAGTGAGAGACACACCCTGCTCAGGTCCCTGGCAGCTGGGTCTAAACAGGTGAGAAGCAGGACAGGGCAGAGCCCACAGGAAAGGAGGTCTGGAAAGGCTGATCAACTTTCCTGCACATCCAACTGAGGTTCTTCAACTTGGGAGAAAGTGCGTGTGATTCTAGCAAGACAGGTGGGGAAAAAAGGCTTAAAATAAAATAATAAAAGCACCACCTTCGACCAGGTCTAAATACTCTGCAAAGTAGATTCTCTGGTCTTAATGTATGATTTGTTTCATGGAACTGCAGACAGATGCACATTTCCTGACCTGCCTCTGGACTGAGCTCTCACAGACATATAAGTTGGCGTTGGGAAAGCACTGGAAACCTCTCAGTCACCTTTTAGCAAATCTAAAGGGGAGCCAAGAGCAGCGTTTGCGTGGACAGGGGCGGCACGTTTGTTCCTTTCCACGCCGGGCTAACCACACTGGACGTATATTGGCCAGTGATGCTCCAGAGTGGGCAGCCGGTGACACCAGCTAGAGGAAACCAGCAGCCACCCGCCCGGCTCTAAATAGTTCCACGCTCATCTGCCTCACAAAGGACCTGGGTTCGTGGCCACACTGTCGGCTCGCACCACCTGAAATCAGACTCGGACTCGGTCGTCCTTTCTCCTAAGCTGGGGATGCTCAGAGGCTCCGAGAGGAAGAGGAGCTCATGGCTGTGCCCGTTTTTCCCATAGTCAGCTAGAATCTAAGAGCCCGTGCTGAGAGGAGCCGGCGCCTGCTGCGAGCCACGGAATGTGCGTGTCTCCATCACGCTCCTCGGGCCTGGTTGTTACCTGCCGGTGGCCACGTCGTTGCAGGAGCGAATGATGACGATCCCCGAGCCGGTGGCCAGCACTGCCTGCACCGAGGACACCAGCCTAGGCGGGCGGGGAGGAAAACAGAGAGAGAGCGCGCGATCGGTCCAGTCCCGAGGACCTCGGAGCCCGACTCTCCCACCCGGCCAGCCCCAGTTGCGGGCGGAGGCGGGGAGCGGGCTCCGGAGACTCCCCTGCGTTCCCCGCGCGCCCCGGCCCCAGCCTGCCTCGCTCCCTCCAGGTCCAGACGTGGAGGCTCTCCGGGAAGCTAGGGCCGCGGCGACCCCGATGACGGGCCCCCAGGCTTCCTGCCGCTGGTTTTCCGCCCTGGGCCCCGCACAGCCGGTGGGTGGGGAGGGTGGGGGCAGTGCCGGGCCGAGGCCGAGGCCCGGGTACCTGGTGCTGATCATCACGCGGTCCGTGCAGGTCCATTCGGGCCCCCAGCGGCGCAGCGCCCAGGAGCAGAGCGCGAAGAGGCCCGGGAAGAAAAGCGTGCCCCCAGCCAGCGTCAGCAGCATGGGGGCTGAGGATCCGGCCGCCTTGCTGGCGCCGTGCGGCGTGGCTGGGCTGCGCTGGGCGCGCCTCGGCCCGGCCGCGCGCTTTCTACCCGCCGCCCTCGCCCGGGCGCTGGCTCGGATCCCACGATCCCACGGCGGCGCGGCTCTGCGCGTGACCAGGCCCGGCAGCCGCAATGGGGCGGGGCGGGGTCTCCCTGCGTCTCCCGCCCGAAGGCTCTGCGGCGTCTCAGGCAGGCGGGCGGACGGGGGCGGAGGCTGTCGCCTGGCGCGCGCGATTCCGAGTCCACCGACGCCACCTCCCGGACCAACTGGGCGACCGCAGGCGGGAAGGACCGGGCTCCCTGGGCTTCTGTTCCGTCACCCGCGCTGCGCCCGCCCCCACACCTGCTCTGCTCCAGGCCCTCGGCGGGCGGGCGGGGTGCAGGACCGAGGGACCGCAGGGTGGGCGAGCCCGCGGTCGCACCATATCCCTCCCGGGAAGGAAGGAAGGAGAGAGCGGCCTGTGGCTCTGTCCCCACCGGCCTAGTCCACCAAGCCTGGTGCTTCCCGATGGGAGTCAGGACGTGGCCTCCCGCCCGCTGCTGCGGCTGCTCCAGGGGGAACCCTCAGAAAGCGTGAGACGTGCCCCCCCCCCCCACGGCATCCAGCAGCCCCTCTCCCTCTGGACCAGGAGTGGACTGTGGGGGCCGCAGGCTTTCTGGGGAGCTGCCTCTTGGCTTTGGCTCTGTCGGGAGATACCACCCAGAGGCTTACTGACTGTTTTGTTGTTCACACTGTGTCATTATTTACAAGCAGTGGCTCAGGCCTGTCATCCCAGCACTTTGGGAGGTGGATCACCTGCGGTCATGAGTTCGAGACCATCCTGGCCAACATGCTGAAATCCTGTCTCTCCTAAAAATACAAAAATTAGCTGTGTGTGGTGGCGGGCGCCTGTAACCCAGCTACTCAGGAGGCTGAGGCAGGAGAATCACTTGAACCCGGGAGGCGGAGGTTGCAGTGAGCCGAGATCGCACCACTGCACTCCAGCCTGGGCGACAGAGCAGGACTCTTATCTCAAAAAAAAAAAAAAAAGAAATTATCAGGACAGCCACCCTAAATGGGAATGAACTGTAATATATTCCATTTGCGCTAAGTGCCAATCACCTGGATGAGGACAGAAATTTCAGTATCACTGGATTCTCTCCTTTAGGAACCTACAGCTTTGTTTTGCTTTGGTCTGTATCTTCCTAAGCTAACAAATGTAGGGGGCAGGAAATATAGTTCATTTATGTTACTACAAATGCAAGGGTCTCTTCAGAGCACCATCATGCAAAATGCTGACCAGAAACCCATGTGAGGACTTCAGAATAGCCGGGCTCAGCTCTCTAGGCCATGATTTGCTGGCTTGTGAAATGAGAGGGAGACTGGGTTACTAGCCGTTTTAAGCTCTTCCATCTTGAGATTCTTATGATTCTATGACCTGTATAAAGTGGCAGATGATTTCTTTTCAGTTAAATGACTTTTAACACGGCAAGTTACTGATGTAGGAACTGGTATAGTGAGCACAGCTTTTGTTTTTTTCAATTTGTATTCATTTATTATGGAATCTGAAAATGGTTCTCAGACGTAAAAGACAATTTTTCCTTTTAAGGAAAGGAACTGGTAGTTATTTGGTTGTGACCTTTTGGAATGCATGTAGCTACCAACATCTTCCTATATGTTGTTAAGAAAAGGGACTCAAATTAGCTGGGCACAGTGGCGCATGCCTGTAATCCCAGCTACTCAGGAGGCTGAGGCAGGAGAATTGCCTGAACCCAGGAGGCGGAGGTTGCGCTGAGCGGAGATCGCGCCATTGCACTGCAGCCTGGGTAACAAGAGCGAAACTCCGTCTCAAAAAAAAAAAAAAGAAAGAAAAAGAAAAGGGACTCAGCCAACATCAAGGTAGCAAACAGCCTTAAGAAAAGCCTGGAATTTCTACTCTAGCTCCCAAATTCATTGCTAACATACTTCGTGAAATGAGAAAGCCACTTCAGTTTGGTACCAAGGTCTCTGACAAATGCAAAGCTCTCTGTATTTTCACATTTGCTGGTGGACAAAACCAGCTATCTGTGAACTCCACATTCTCTCCAGGAAAACCACTCTGTGTATTCCAGTTTGCTTCCTATGCATTATCACAGTCACCTCCAGCACCAGCGTTTCCAGAGAGTGACAAGTGGTTACGAGTCCTCCCTGCCCTCCCTCCTTAAAGGGACCAGCAACTTGGCACTGGGTATGCTGCACTTTTAAGTGGTGGGAACCAATCTACCCTACACAAGAAGCTGTTTGTACAGCTGGTAAGACATCTTTATGAATTGAAGACAAAACAGCAGATGTTTCATGTATAGAAAATAGCAAGTGAGGCCAGACGCGGTGGCTTACGAGGTCAAGAGATTGAGACCATCCTGGTCAACATGGTGAAACCCTGTCTCTACTAAAAATACAAAAAAATTAGCTGGGCATGGTGGCGTGTGCCTGTAATCCCAGCTACTCAGGAGGCTGAGGCAGAAGAATTGCCTGAATCCAGGAGGCGGAGGTTACGGTGAGCCGAGATCGTGCCATTGCACTCCAGCCTGGGTAACAAGAACGAAACTCTGTCTCAAAAAAAAAAGAAGATAGCAAGTGAAATGAGTTTCAACACCATGTTCAGTGAAGTCACCAGAATGTTTAGGTTGAATCACCATAAAGCTAACAAGCATAAACATGAACGTTGGCTTCTCAAGTGGTCAAACCTCTGTGGGCAAATGATAAAGCCAAGCAAAAAACACTGAGCCTGGTTTACACAAACTTCTGCTCATCCTTCAAAAGTCTTGAATCAGATGTTTCCTTCTCTAAGAAGGCTTCTATGTCTCTTCCAGTAATTAGAAATGTCTCTTCCAGATTTAGAAAAATTCAATTTCTAAATCTGCCTTTGCGTTTTGAGTAATGAGTCTGTTGGTTTTTTTTATTTGTATGTATGTTTCTCCACCAGACTGTTAGGTCTTTGAGACAAGGACTGTGTCATTTCATTTTGTACCCCAAGTTAGCCCCGGCACATTTCTTTTTTTTTTTTGATATGGAGCTTTGTTCTGTCACCAGGTTTGGACTGCAGTGGTGTGATCTCGCCTAACTGCAACCTCCACCTCCAGGGTTCAAGTGATTCTCCTGCCTCAGCCTCCTGAATAGCTGGGATTACAGGCACCCACAGCCACACCCAGCTAATTTCTGTATTTTTAGTAGAGATGGGGTTTCTCCATGTTGGGCCAGGATGGTCTCAATCTCTTGACCTTGTGATCTGCCTGCCTCAGCCTCCCAAAGTGCTGGGATTACAGGGGTAAGCCACCGCGCCTGGCCTAGGCCTGGCACATTCTAAGGGTTCAATACATGTTTCATATTTTCTAAAGCTCAATTGGTTGAGCACTTACTACCTGCTGGGCCCTATATCAAATGTTTTGTATTCACTGCCTCATTAAATGCTCACAACAAATGTTATTCTCTGTGTGTGTGTGTGTGTGTGTGTGTGTGTGTATGAGTGCCTGTGTGTGTGTGTGTGTGTGTGTGTGTGTGTGTGTGTGTATCAGCAAAATAAGATTCAGACCAGAGCAATTTAAAAATTGCCAAAGGTCACATTGCCAGTGGCAGAGTTGGGATTTAAACTCAGTACCTTCTGCCTTCGGTTCCATGTGCTGAATGAGTATACTGTTTTCAAACCTGATAAACCAGGAGAGAATAACAATTTCTCATAATATAGTTTCCGATTAATGCTGTTCCTGATTATTGACTCATAAATATAAATGTGTATGGTGAATTTACAGGCTCCGATGCTGCTATGAACACTATACTATATTTATATGTAACTTTATAAATTTTCAAAGCATTTTCACATGCATTATCTCACTTGGGTCTCAAAATAACCAGTGAGGTAGGCTACACATGTTATTTTCATTTTACAGATGAAGAGACCTAAGTGTAGCACAGTACACTGACTTGCCACCCTGTGAATGACAAGGCCCAGGTTAGAACCTAGGGCTGGATTCATGTTCCAGGGTGATTTCTGCTACTCCATGCTATAGGGCTGGGATTTAACAAGTTCGTAATTATGCCGCTTGTGTGGATTTCCCGTGAAAATCTGGGCTACTTCATGCCAAGATAAAACTCACTCACAAAATTTAGATTCTTGCCCCCTTGAACACAGAATTTATAAAGATCCCCATTGTAAAGGGCTATGGAGGGATTCTACCACCACAAAAATATGTGGCCCTGCCTTTCAGTCCCCTCTACCCCATAACTCTGAACCCCACTCACTATCATTAGGGAATATCTGCTTCCTGGTTTCTTCAGCCTTAAATGGAAAATACTATATTTACTTTTAAAATACTTTGCAAGTTCTCAAGCAAATGCCATTAAGATAGGTGATGTGTGGGCAACTACCCTTGATCAAGGACCTTTTCCTCCTATGTGGGAAAACCATCTACATGAAAAACAATTGAGATCACACAGGAAACACCTTCACATAGTGAGCTCCAGAACCAAGAGGGAACTTACAGGTCTCTGTCCACTTACCTCCTTTAGAAATCCTAACAGAGACTGGCACAGTGGCTCACAACAGTAATCCTAGCACTCTGGGATCTGTCCAAGGTGGGCAGATCACTTGAGCCCAGGAGTTTAAGACCAGCCTGAGCAACCTGGCAAAAAAAAAAAACAAAACAAAACAAAACAAAACAAATTAGCTGGGTGTGGTGGCACGCACCTGTAGTCCCAGCTACTTGGGAGGCTGAAGTAGGATTGCTTGAGCTCAGGAGGTTGAGGCTGCAGTGAAGTGTAAGCACAGCACTGTACTCCAGCCTGGGCAACAGAGTGAGATCCTGTCTCAAAACACACACATACACACACAATGCCAATACACACTCTTCAATGTAAAAAGATGGACATAGAAATGAAGATGCAAAGATTGGCACAACCACAGAACAAGAGGAAAAGAACAGTCAGACACGGAGAAGGAGGACAGAGGCGTAGGAAGAGAAGGAGAGCAGCAGCCTTCTGTAGAACTTCATTCGCTGCAGGCTAGCTCCAAGTAAAGCCACACTGCATTTGAAGAAACAGCACAAAGAATGAGATGTCTTGCTCTTAGGCCTCTGAGTGTGGCCAGAAAGAAGTTAATCACCCTGCTCTGAATTTCTCCTTCACTTAGTTTGCCTGATGAGCGTAGCTCTGCACTGACGTGTGTGTGCTTCTCCCTGACTGTAGGAGCTGTCTGGGAGGCAGCCGTGGCCTGCAGCACTGGAGCTGGGATCAGAGAACGTGGGTCCAGCCCTGGCCCCACCACCCAGAAGCTGCTGGCATGGAGAAAACACTGCCTTCTTCCCCAGCAGAATGGGGTTCCTCCACCTACCCTCCAGGATGGCTGGGAGAATTAAGTGAGATCATATTTGCAAAATGTTAAACTGTGCCTAGCACAGGCAGGAATGATTATTATTTATGCTGGATTCCCAAGCATAGTTCCCTGCTGAGAAGCTTCCCAGTAAGCACCCACTGGATTAAAGGTCCCCTAGGCCGGCCTTACGCCAGCTCCAGGCTGCAGCTTCCTTTTTTTTTTTAATCCTGAGTTCTTCACAAGAGCAAACTCTGAGGCTAAGAAGCACAGTCACACCCAAGCACATGGTTTCCACAAATAGGGGTGGCAGCTGCACTTCAGGGAGACTTTGCTCTTGTACACAGTGCTATGATTGCTGTGTAATTCACACAAGGAACTAAGGATGTAGCACTTTTATATATGCGCGGTGTTTTTCAAAGTACTTTCACATACAAATTTATTTTGCTATAAATGCAAAATCTGGCTTGTTTGTGGATAATCACACCTATTTGAAAGCAGCATTTTCAGACTCAGGTTTAAAAAATATTTAAGGGCTAGGCACACTAGCTCACTCTGTAAATCCAGCACTTTGAGAGGCCAAGGTGGGCAGACTGCTTGAGACCAGGAATTCCAGACCAGCCTGGGCAAATGGTGAAATACTGTCTCTTAAAAAAAAAAAAAAAAAAACTTAGCTGGTTGTGGTGGTGCATGCCCATAGCCCCAGCTCCTTGGGAGGCTGAGGTGGGAGATCATCTGAGCCCAAGGAGGTTGAGACTGCAGTGAGCTGCGATGGTACCACTGCATCCAGCCTGAGGGGCAGATGGAGACACTATCTCAAAAAAATAAAGGTGGCAGGGGTGTGTCCCACTCTGTTACCCAGGCTGGTCTCAAACTCCTGGCCTCAAGCCATCCTCCCTCTTTCCTCCTAAGTGCTGGGATGACAGGCATGAGCCATCACACCTGGCTTCAGACCTACTAAATTTTATTTGTGACGAGCATGTCATACTTGTGAGGAAAAGGACTACATAGGAAAGCCACAGAAATGATGAGCCTTCCAATTAGACAAAGTAGGAAGTGAAGCAGTGTTCCGCACAGCTCGTGTCTACCCAGAGCCTCAGCATATGGCCTTATTTGGAAATGGGCTCTTTGCAGATACGATTAAGGTGAGGACTGAGATGGGGCCATCCTGGATTGGGGTGGCCCCTAAATCCAGTTAGACAGAAGACAACACAGAGATACAGAGCCGAAGGGATGTGAGAACGGAGTGAGACTGGAATGACACGTCCACAAGACAAGGAATGCCGAGGCCTGCCATCAGCCCCAGACGCTGAGAGACAGGCATGGGAGGGTTTTTCCCTCAGAGGCTCCAAAAAGAAACCAGTCCTTCGACTTGCTGATTTCAGACCTCTGCCCACAGGACTGTGAGAAAATGTCTGCTGTCCTAGGCACTCCAAGCTGTGGTAACTTGTGAAGACAGCTCCAGGAAACCAGTACAGTGCACCCCACACCAAACACAAAAATAAATTCAGATAGATCATGGGTTAAACACTACAAATGTACTGGAAGAAACTTTTGGAAAATATTTTATAAATCATAGGCTAGAGAAAGTTTTCCCAAACAAGGTATAAAACCCCGATGTCATATAGAGAAGGACTGACAGATTTGTATACCAAAAAAAAAAAAAAAGGCTGGGCACAGTGGCTCACGCGTGTAATCCCAGCACTTTGGGAGGCTGAGGCGGGTGGATCATGAGGTCAAGAGATCGAGACCATCCTGGTCAACATGGTGAAACCCCGTCTCTACTAAAAATACAAAAAATTAGCTGGGCATGGTGACACATGCCTGTGATCCCTGCTACTCAGGAGGCTGAGGCAGGAGAATTGCCTGAACCCAGGAGGCGGAGGTTGCAGTGAGCCGAGATTGCACCATTGCACTCCAACCTGGCTAACAAGAGCGAAACTCAGTCTCAAAAAAAAAAAAAAAAAAAAAAAAAAAGGGTACATCAAAAAACACTACTGGTTGGCACAGTGTCTCATTCCTGTAATTTTAGCACTTTGAGAGGCCAAGGTGGATGGATCACTTGAGCTCAAGGGTTCGAAAACAGCCTGGGAAACATGGCAAAACCCCATCTCTACAAAAAATAAAAAAATCAGTCGAGCATGGTGGCACATGCTTGAAGTTCCAATCACTTGGGAGGCGATCACTCGTGCCAGGAGGTGGAGATTGCAGTGAGCTATGATCGTGCCACTGCACTCCAGCACGGGCAACAGACAGAGCGAGACCCGGTCTCAAAGAACACAAAATTGTACATCAAAAAGCACTATTAAAAGACAAGCCAGGCATGGTGCCATGCCTGTAGTCCCAGTTACTTGGGTGGATTGCTTGAGCCCACGAGTTCAAGGCTGCAGTGAGGCTCCATCGCACTCCGGTCTGGGTGACAGAAGTTAAAGACAAGTAACAATGTGTCTGTAGCATACAGCATCAGAATATCCAGAATAGTCAGAGAGCCTACAAATTATTAAGGAAAATAAATAATCCAAAAGAATTTTTTAAATGATATAAACAAGAAATACACAGAAGAAATATGAAAAGGCCAGTTAAAAGCTTTATAAGTAGGCCGGACACAACACCTGTAATCCTAGTGCTTTGGGAGGCGAGCCATGAGGATCACCTGAGACTAGGAGTTCAAGACCAGCCTAGGCAGCATAACAAGACCCTACAAAAAAATTTAAAAATTAGCCAGGTGTGGTAGTGTGTTCCTGTAGTCCCTGCTGCATGGGAAGCAGAGGTGGGAGGATCCCTTGAGCCCAGAAGTTTGAGGCTTCAGTGAGCCATGATCCTGCCACTATATTCCAGCCTGGTGATAAAGTGAGACCCTGTCTCTCAAAATACACACACGCACACATTGTAAGTGAATATTGAAAAGACTGAAAATATCCAGTGTGCTTAAGTATACAAGGACATAGGCATTTTTTTTTTTTTTTACAGTGCTGGTAGAATTAAAATAATATACTATTAGGCTGGGCACAGTGGCTCATACCTGTAATCCCAGCACTTTGGAATATAAAAATTAGCAGTGTGGTGGCATGCCTATAATCCCAGCTACTCAGGAGGCTGAGGCAGGAGAATCACTTGAACCCTGAGGTAGAGGCTGCAGTGAGCTGAGATTGTGCCACTGCACTCCAGCCTGGGCAACAGAACAAGACTTGGTCTCAAAAAAAAAAAAAAAAAAAAGAATATAGTGTTGTTTATAATAGCCAAAAATTAGAAACAACCCGAATATTTAGGAATAGAATAAATAAGGCCCAGCACAATGGCTCACACTTGTAATCCTAGCACTTTGGGAGGCCAAGGCTGGCAGATTACTTGACTTCAGGACCAGCCTGGCCAACATAGTGAAACCCCTACTCTACTAAAAATACAAAAAGTAGCCTGACTTGGTGGCATGCACCTGTAATCCCAGCTACTCAGGAGGCTAAGGCAGGGGAATTGCCTCGGAGGCGGAGACTGCAGTGAGCTGAGATCACGTCTTTGCACTCAAGTCTGGGTGACAGAGTGAGATTGTGTTCCCAAAAATAAAAAGGAATAGAAGCCGGGCGCGGTGGCTCCTGCCTGTAATCCCAGCACTTTGGGAGGCCAAGGTGGGAGGATCACAAGGTCAGGAGTTCAAGACCAGCCTGTCCAACATGGTGAAACCTCATCTGTACTAAAAATACAAAAATTAGCTGGGCATGGTGGTGCGTACCTGTAATCCTAGCTACTTGGAAGGCTGAGGCAGGAAAATTGCTTGAACCAGGGCCTGGGAGGCAGAGGTTGCGGTGAGCCGAGATTGTGCCATTGCACTCCAGCCTGGGCTACAGAGCAAGACTCCATCTCAAAAAAAAAAAGGAAAAAGGAATAGAATAAGTAATTTACAGTATGTTCAAACTGTGGAATACTCTGCAGCCATTAAAAGAAATACAGCTGGGCGTGGTGGTGTGTACCTGTAGTCACAGCTACTTAGGAGGATGAGGTGGCAGGATCACTTGAGCCCAGGGGGTCAAGGTTGCAGTGACCTATGATTGCAGCACTGCACTCCAGCCTGGATAACAAAGTGAGACCCAGTCTCATTTAAAAAAAAAAAAAGAGAGAGAGAGAAAGAAACAGAGCAACATATAGAGAATCCTCCTGATTAGCTGAGATTACAGGCACCTGCCACCATACCCGGCTAATTTTTTGTATTTTTTATAGAGACTGGGTTCACCAGGTTGGCCAGGCTGGTTTCCAACTTCAGGTGATCCACCTGCCTTGGCCTCCCAAAGTGCTGGGATTACAGGTATGAGCCACTACGCC